TGAAAAATTCATACGTCCTAGTACTTGTAGAACCTGAAATATCTGCATACCGTGGTACTTGCAAGACTTGTAGCATTCGCACACAGCTATTCGTTTATTTTTAAGAAAACAGAGAAGGTTGTATGGGTTAGTAAACTGCCCCCGTTATGTGCCCCATCCCCCCCTCCCCGCTGCCACTTTTCTCTTCACCTCCTCCTCCTCCTCCCCTCCCTCCTTTCTGGTCCCCCATGCTGTGCAAACACACAGGCGGGGCTGTTGTGTCTGCGCAAAAACCGGTTTGTTGACTTTTTTTTTTCTCAAACCGAGCAAGTGCTTGCGCCGGCCGGCTGAGTGCGCGCGATAGATTGATGAGGCGAGAATTGTAGGAGGAGGCGAGGCGAATGGTAAAGAGTCGTCTCATTGGTGTGCTATGTGGACGAAGGTCACGTCGCGTGCGTGATGGAGCAATGGGACAGGCCGAAACTGCTGGTGTTCATCACGCAGTGGTCGTTATCTTTCTCGAATATTTCGCCTGGGGTTTACTCACTGTTCCAGTCATTAATGTATGCCACAGTTTTCTTCTTTTTACACTTACTATGTAGGGCAAGGGACTGACACTTCTAGTTTTTCTTGGCAATTTTTCTTGCCATTTAGGCTTTCAGGGTCAACCTGGTTGCTACAGTCCTACCTGCTTATATCTGATTCGCTATCAGCTTGCTTGTAAGTAACCCTTGAACGAGAGTGGGCGATTGATGGCCTTACCAACGTGTGGTTGCTGTTGGCATTTACTACTAGTTGGGCTACTTTCTGAGTGCCTCCGCCTCTTATAGAGAGCGAATTCGGAGAGAGTTTTGACACCTTGAATTTTGCTTTCGGAAATTTTTCCCAGAAATTTTGATGATCAGAGTCATATGAGGGGGTTTTTTTGAATTTTCGACCAAGAAGAAATTTTTTGCTGTACTTTGTGGATTTGTATGAAGGTGAGGGAAGGATAATAGGCGAAGGGGAGGCAGGATTTTAAATTAATTTTTTTAGTTTTTTTTAGCGAGTTTTCGGCATTCCTGTTCCTAAGCATGTGAAATTATCACGAAATCAAGTTTTCACAATAGCTGTTTCGAACACCGATAATTGTCCTGATGGTCTCCATGTTATTGTTGTCCCAGTAATTATTGTTGATACCCACACTGATTGTCTGGACGGCTTTGGTATTCCTGGTACATGGAAAGTGGAAGCGGATGGGGAATTTTGTCCCTTATTTATAATCGAATTTCGCATCTTAAGATGATCTTAGGGTTTACCTTTATTGCAGGTTTTGGCGGATACGTTTCCAACGAATAAATTTTTGATGAATGGGCTTATTCTCGGTGTCAAAGGTTTCCTGTCATTTCTGAGTGCACCATTGCTCGGTGCTGTATCCGACAAATGGGGTCGCAAACCGTTTCTACTACTCACCGT